GAATCACTGGTGTGTCCCGTGCCTTTCAGAATTCACATGGTTGGAAGTGTGAGTCCCAGAGCTCAGCATCCTCAATCCCTGCCCTTCCACAGTGTGTCAGCACCCAGAGACCAGAGGGTACCCTCCTGGTGTGGAGTCCCGCCTCTAAGTCCAAAAGCACACTTGAAACACTGGGGCAGCTCAGTGTGGAAGAAAGGCAGGGCCAGGGCTAGTTTCAGCTTGACTCCACCTCTGTCTGGCTGGGAGGATCTACAATAAGTAGCTTGCCCACTTTTGCCTGTTTCCTCCTCTACTGGGGGTGGGGATAAAACTGACCTGAGGTAATGACTGTGCAGTGACTGAGATGACCATGAGGTGAAAGTCATGAGGTTGGTTCTCTCCTACCTTTACACGGGTTCTGGTGACTGGACTCAGGTCTCCAGAATGGGGCATCTTTACAGTCTTTACCCACTGCCTGCCCTATATAGTTGGGCTTCATTTATTTATTTATTTAATGATTTATCTATGTAACCCAGGCTGGCCACAGAATCTGCATCCCCATGCCTCATCCTTCTCCATGGGGGGTGGGGATGATAAAATGCTTGGCCTACTATACACATTTTTAGAAGACCAACCTTTTGAGATAAGAAGATGAAGAATAAAATGCTGAAGACATCATTCTTGTTAGATAAGACCAATTGGCTAGAAAGTTTCTGAACAATTTAGGAAAGTGGTCCAATCTGAGCTAAAACCACAGAAAGCAATATGGCTTTTGAAAAGACTAGCTATGGATGAATTATCAGTTGAAGTGAGGAGAATTCCACATCACATTAATGATAGGCTGAACACACAGGTGAGATCCCGAGAGTGACGGAGCCTCCTGAGAGAAACCTGCATTTACCGAGACAGGGATGAGTGGAGAGCAAGGCCATGTTCCTGACAGAAAGAGTCAGATTCACGCCACAAAGCCCCTTTCAAGTTCTAAGAAAACATCTCTAGGCTCAGTGGGTAAAGCATGCTGCATAGGTCCGGGGACCTGAACCAGATCCCTAGGTCTAACCCTAAAAAGGGGGCAGGGTGGTTGCCCCTGTAATCCCAGCCTGGGAAAGTGGAGACAGGAGCATCCCCAGGATTCATGGGCAGCCAGCTTAAACTAATAGAGTCTCAGGACAGTGGGAGATCCTATCTCCAAACAAGGTGGATGGCTCCTGAGGTTGTGCACATAATCTATCTCTCTCCTTCTCTCCCTCCCTCCTTCCCTCCCTCCCTTCCTCCCTCCCTCCCTCCTTCCATCCTTCCTTCCCTCCTTCCCTCCCTCCTCCTCTCCCTACACACTTTCACTGGATATATGGAAAGGGGTGGGCAGGAATCAATAGACATTTTGGCAATTACACTGATGATTACAAAATATGCAGCCATACAATTTTAGGGAAGGCTAGCGGCAGGAGGGTCTGACCCACGAGATACTGAAGCTGGCTGTAACGATGATCTAGTAAGAGTCATGGAGCTTGGCCAAGAGTCCGTCTGTGTTGCTGGGCATCGGCTCTGCCCACCCGTGATGGGCCATCAGCCCCCCCCCCCCCACGGAGCCTTTTATCAAGTGGCTGTTTGTCACAACTGCCTTACGTAGATGGCCCTGGTGAGGGACAGAGCCCAACCAAGATGTGGCTCACCAGTTTCATCAGACTCCTCTCCCAGGAGCACCAACAGCCGAGTGCGAGTCTACGTGGTTTCTTCCTCGGCAAATGGAAGCCCTCTGTCCAGCCCGGAGGCCGGCAGCCACCCGGGTTGACAGTTTTCTGACCCCACATCCCAAACCACTCACAAACCCCAACAGCTCAGCCCCATTCTCACCTCACTGTGACGGTCTCCTGTGCCCACGTTTGGGCAGGCTCCCCCGGGGAGGCGGATTTCTAGGAGTGACTATCCCTTCAAGGCCAGACCCTTAAGGGCTCCACCCTGGGACAGGAGGCCAGCCTCACAATGGGCTCCTGCTTTCTGTGACCTCATTCACTTTGCTGCGGCTAAGGGCTCCTATTACTTGCAGGCTACCTCAGGTGCAACACTGCTAGGGGAGCCTGTGTACTCTCGGTCCCCATTCCTCCTCCAGTCTGTGGCTTTGGAGACCCATCCACTGGTCCCCTCCCCTGCTGCTTTCCTGTCACATTTCTCTCTGACCTCTAGGCTCACTTTTACTTTCTCGCTCTGACAGATGAACAACTTCAGAGAGAGCAAGGGCTCCAGTCCTCTGTTTCCCGGGGAGGGGGTGAGCCCCTAGGGGTCAGGGGAGATGTTGAGGCACAGTGGAACCAAGAAACAAACAGCAGACACACAATGATGTCAGCGCTGCCGCCGTGGTATAAGGAGGGAGGGGACAGGATTCTGCCTGCTCTGAGGGGTGGTCATGGATCAACGGTTGGGAGGCAAAGACATGACAGCATGATTCTGCTTTAGCCATCTATGAACTCCGATCAGCTCCGGCGTGGAGAGGAGGAGGAACCTTATGGAACTAGAAAGTGTCCCTGTGATCAACTCTGCCCTGGCTCTCTTGGCATTCTCCTTAGAAAATAAACTAGAGAAAATCAGCAGGATTTATAAAACAAAGCATTGATTGGCAATAACCAACAACCTTAGTTGGTTAGGGAGCATGGGCGATTTTTATAGATGGGTTACAGTGCAGCTGCTAGAAGGTTCCGAGGGAAAACTTAACCAGAAAGCATCAGTAATGGAGGAGAAGGAATGGAGAAAGACCACGAGGCAGCTGCATAAGGAATGGTCACACCTGTGCACACCTGTACACACCATAATCAACACATGCTCCACACGCCTGTAGTCTGAGAGGTGGTGACAAGGCAGGGTACTGGCCATACTCACGCCACCTCTGAGGCTAACCCAGTTCCCCTGCCGTCCATGGGTGCAGCTCCATCCAGAAAGCAGTGCTCAGAGTGAGTCTCAGAGCCCGAGGCATGGGTGGCACACCTGCCTCAGCCATCTGCTCGGGGTGAATCAGCCATCCACACAGTGGGCTCTGAGGCTGGGGTAGGTGGGTACTTACCGATGATCTGGGGCACACCAACTTCAGCTGGAGACCCAGGTTATGGCTCTCTAGGCTCTGCTCACATGGAACTTAGTGTCCCAGGGGAGAGAGATGTGGGCCAAGTCCCCTAAGTGAGGGGGAGGACCCTCAAGACAGGACATGGCCCTGGTCTGTGTAATGCCCCTCCTGACACTGTCATGACGGCACAGAGCTGGCAAAGAGTGATACTCACATTCTAACCCAGTACCAGCCAAACATTTCCCTCCTGCAGCTGGGGAGTAGCCCATGGTGTTGATGACATCATTCCCTTCTCAGGCCAGAAAGGGGGGGGGGGGTGCCAAATGCTGTCCAAGAAGATGCTCAGGGCCCGAGATGGCAGAAAAGGAGACGATGAGCTGGTAACCTCTCACTGACACAGTAGTTCATGCCAGCTGGAGATGTGTTTGTCCCGTGTACCAGTCACGCCTGCAGCTCCACTGAGGTCACTCAGAAAGTACAGACGTTGCACAAAGGAAGGTCACTGAAAATCCCACCCGCTGGGTCAACTCCTGTTATCACCTCTAAACCACCACAAAACACAGGCACAAAGATCCTCAGACCACGTTGGCAATCCCTGTGACACTGTGGTCCCCATATGGACACCAATACCACCCAGAGATTCCCATGCAATCCCGGGGGCAGAGCCAGGCTCCCTTGGGCTTTGCTCAGAGCCTGCTGGGCTCTGGCCCCCCGGTTCCTGCAGCCTCTCAGCTCAGCCCCCAGCAGCCTCACTGAGCACCCGTGGGCGCCGGGGAAGAACAGATGGCTCCCGGTCTGGCGCTTTTGTGTCCCATCTGAATGGGGGGAAATTGTGCTTTTTTTCTATAACTAAGAGGAATGTTCTTCCTAATCAGAGAAGACACTGCCATCGTCTTCAGATGCAGAAACCCTCTACCAGCATTCAGCTTTATAGCAAAGGTGCCTGGGAGTAGTGTGTGCGTGTGCGTGTGTGTGTGTGCGTGCGTGTGCGTGTGCGTGTGTTTGTGTATGTGTGTGTGTATAGCCTCAGGGCATACCTTCGGGAAGAGGAGCCTGGCTCTCAATGACCTTTTTACCACTGAGGCACCTGTGGGGCAGAGGCAGTAACCTGCCCTAGAGCAAGCAGGCTCAGACAAGGGGTTTAGTGAGGTCCGTTGCAACATCAGCTCAGAAACCCATAGGTGTACAAATCAACGATGCAGGTCAGAGCTAGCCCATCCAACCATGCTTCACAGAGCCAGTTCTGCTCTCAGGACTCAGAGACAATCCTACAGCATCACTTCCAATCCCCCAGAGCGGGGAACCTCCTGAAACCTCATCCCCAGGAACTCAGCAGGTAACAAGAGGATTCTAATTAGAAACAGCACCGAACTCGGCACTTCCTTCTAGAGAATGCCTATAATTAGTTCCAGGAATTGAAAAATTGCTTCATTCCATCAAATATTTTGATTAGCAAGGAAATTAATTGTACCATGTCTTCATTTGTATTTACATTGGGTAAAATGAATGCTAAAAATAACAATAGCAGTAAAACTGCCTGTCCAAAAAAAAAAAGAAAGAAAAGAAAGAAATGAAACATTGAAAATCCAGATGAAAATGAAGTCTGAGTTCTGGAAGGAAGGTGCCCACTACCCACCTGTGATGTCTGCTTGAGAGGCAGGGGCAGAAGCAAGGAGGGAGGGGGTGTTCATTCCCCAGGGAAGACTGTACCAGGCGGGTGTCCAGACCCGGGACCCTCTGCATGGTGGGGCAGTGATTCCACCAGCCCAGGTGCCGTCCCACGTGTCCTGGTGGCCTGAGGACTGTGGAGGTTGATGTGACATGTTCCCACAGGCTCAAGGCTCATGTGCTTGAATACTTGGTCCCCAACTGGGAGACTGTGGGGCATTAGGAAGCGGGGCCCACCTGGAGGAAGTATGTCACTGGCCTTGAGATTCCCAGGCCAGGTTCCAGTGCTTCCTCTGCTTCCTTGAAGATGTGAATACATTCCCCCTTACCAAGAAGCTGCCCGTGACCTGCTGCCTGCCATTGTACTGTCTCCTCTGCGCTGGACCATGTCCCCTCAAATCGTGAATCAAAGTATTTCCTTCTGAAGCTGCTGATCCCAGCTGTGCATGGGGAATTCCTGGCTTCCAGAATGTCTCTGGAAAGGCCCTAAATTAACCCAACCAGTGCTCGCTGAGGCTGGCCTAGAAGCTGCTGGGCATGCTGAGTTGTGCTGCCTTCACAGGGCGCAGGCTAGACCACGTACAGTTCCTGTAACCCTCCTGAGCAGCGGGGACTTCCTGGTTTACAAAGCCACAGGGCTGGGCTCTGAGAGGTGGGACTTACACTGTCCTCAGGGTCCCCCTACCAGTGACAAGGCTCAAAGTAGTCCCACTCCAGAAACAGGCCGGTAGGCATCCATGATGATTCCTGCCACAGTCATGCAGGAGAACACGAGAGCCTCCTTGGAAGAGGATTCAGGAACTCAAAGACACTACAGGGTAAACGCCAGGTACCATCCTAGGGCTGTGAGTGCGAGACTAAAACCTCTGTCCTAGAGGACATTCAAAGATGCCCACAGGAAACAGGATGCAGGCAGCCTCTCCCACTCTCCATGCCCTGACCACTTCTGACATGCGCTGCTTCCTCAGCCTTGGGACTATGCAAAGTGTTCCTCACCATGTCTCTCCCTGTGGTCTGTGCTGCGCCTCTAACTCACCCTCACAGGCTCATCAGAAAACCGCTCCTGCCTGCTTCCTCACCTGCCTCCCCTGCCCCTCCCCTGCCCCCACTGCCCCACCTCTCCCAGCTCTCCAGCTCACCTCTGGCACACAGTGGGCACTCACACCCTGTGCAGACTCCTGCCTCACAAATCCTTCTAGAGCATGAAAGTGCCATAAAGTGCAAAGAATCAAAGCCGCCCCCCCCCCCCCCCCCCGGCCCTTTAATGACTCAATAAACTCAGGGGCGAAGTGGCTTATGAAAATGCTAACCAATTCCTTTACTCGAATAACTTCCACACCGCTGACCACATCATCACCGAGCATTCAGCACAAGCTGGAGTAGCGTAGAATACACATAATTATACAGACATTTGGTATTTGCTGGGCCAGGGATCCTGCGAAGCTATGACCACCACAGTGCAGCTAATCTGTCTAACAGTCCTAAGGGCAGACAGTGAAGCAGCCTTCACTTTACTGGAGGGAAGAAACTGTGAGTCCCCAGGCTGTGGGATTCTAATCCCAGCCCTACATATCTAGCTCTGAGGGGTGGGGGGTGGGGAAGGCCACAGCTCTCTGAACCTCGGTTTCCTCCTTTGTAACACAGCACCGATGTAACCGGCTCACACACCGTCATGAGGACCGACCAAGGGGATTCTTGGGAATGCCTGGAACATGGCTGGCTCGAAGAACCTGCCTGATGCCCGCCTGTCTGGTGACATTTGACTGTGGTGACAAGAGGGTGACAGTGGCTGGCCGGGCACAACCACCTGGTGGTCAATTTGTTCTTTCTTCTTAATTTCTCGGCACACTCCAAAGTCAGGCGTCCGCAGGGGCCACGGGATGGAACTTTCTGGGTTTTTTGGTTTTTTTTGTTTTTTTTTTTGAATGGCCATGGCCATTTCTGAGAAGCTGGATCACCCAATGGGGTCCTCTGAGTACACCCTCCTGTCCATCACATGCCTGGACCTGGGAGTGAGGAGCTACCAAGTACAGCTCGAGGTAGGGGGAGCTGTATCACAGCCACTCTCTACAGGACTTCCTTGACAGTGACCCTGAGTTGTCTCCTGGCATGACCAGCTGCCAGCATCACTGCCGAAGCCACCTCTGGTACTCAGTAGATCCAAAAATACACCGAGCAGACGTGGTCTTCTCCAAGCAGGTGATGCTCCATCTTCCGCACAAAGCACTCAGGCGTGGAATGCTTTTCTGGAGATGAGGGGGAACTTGGCTGGGGAGGGACAGGAGCATGAAGAAGGGCCTGTGCTGTCACCCAGCATCTGTCCCTTGCTTACTGCTTTGTCCTTTAACCCGGCCACTGGTCACAGTTCAAGTCTAACATGTATCCTTCCTCCTAAATGCTGGAGAGGTCAAAGTGTCTTATCCTGAAGTCAGTGTGGTATGTTTCTAATGATGAGGAACACAGGAGTCACCTTCCTGGGCCCACTGGCCTCTGTAACCATGGGGTTGGCTTTCCTATGAGTGTGACGTTCATGGGAAGTACCTCGGGCCTAGCTCATAGGTGGACTCCTGGGCCTGCCCACAGAGGGACTCCAGCCTTGGGTGGGCTCTTCCGCCCTGACCCCGAATCTAGCAAAGCACCAATTGCATTGGTGTTTCTGGAGCAGAAGGAGCCTGGGCTGGACCAGCCACAGTGTGGAGCCAGGACCCAGGATACTGAATGACAAGTGCCCCTGCCGGAAGCGCTCAAGACCCACATGCCTGCTCAACAGCCACAAGACAGAAGCTCATAAATACGTCTGAGGAGAGACATTGAGGCTCACTCATCATGACAAATGGGTGGAGTGAGATGACAGATTTCATTCCTTCCATACACTTGAGGGCTTACTGAGGGCATGAGTACAGTCCTATGTCCCAAGAATTGAGCAGCCTAGGCTGGGGGGTGATCTCTGCTGATTTCCCTTCTGAGGAAGGTGCTGGCTTCCTTCATTACACTTCGGTAATCTCTTTTTAATTACTCGCCTCCTCTGTGTCCCCAGAGGGAAGGGATGACTGGTGTCCCAATAATGAACTTAAGCGATGCTTTACCTGACCCTATCACTTCTGACCTTTCTTCCCTCCTGGTGAAGAGCCTAGAACTAAGCTGTAGCAGGCTTGGTGATGAAAGCCTCAGTTTCCCTCCACCGCCCCCCCAATCACATGGGATGGGGGTCCCCAGTCATTCTTTGTGGCCCAGAGCAAGGCACCTATGCTCTGAAAAAGCTCTCAGGTACTGGTGGGTGGCTCTGTCCCCGCTTCCTGCTCCAACTGCTGAGTAAACAGGACAAGGAACACACACACACACACACACACACACACACACACACACACACACACACACGGTTCCTGTGCTATGATTCCTCTGACAGGGCCTTATGATCCTCCGAGCCTGTGGTCCCTGGCTCAGCTTGACATCCTGGTCAACGACAATCTTCTGCTTCATCCAGGCTTAAGCGTGCACCTCTCAGCCAGGTGTCTTCAGAACCCTGGGGGGAGTGCAGGGGTGGGGTGCAGCTACCTCTCTGCTGCATCCTCCTAGACCGGTCTCACTGTGGTACAGTTCATCCCCAATGAATGAAGGTGTACAGGGGGTGGCGGCAGCCACCCCACTCCATGGGCCATTCTTCCAGAACCCTCATGGAGTATTGGGCAAAGCGTGTCTGGAGGTGAGGTCTGTAAGGTTGACTCTTACAAAGAGAACACATAACAGCTGTTGTGAGGAGCTCCAAGTAGAGCCTTAGTGGTGCCTCCCAACGCTGTGAGTCCTGTGTGAGGACACATGGCGCCCGAGGTGGGACAGCTGACCACTGAGGTGCAGGCTCCGCCTCTTCCACATTTGTCCTCCATGGGTTGTTGTTGTACAGACTTGGACGCTTCCACCCTAAGCCCGGCACACCCCTGACAGCCTTTCCTAAAGACCTCACACCTTTATCCATACACCAGCGACTCCACACCAACAGGTTCCTCCGTCCAACTGTGGACCCTGATCCTTCCTAACTGTCTGGGGAAAGGCCCCTCCCCATCAAGTCTCCCTCTCATACAATTCTGCTTCCAGCTTCCCACTCGCTTTGCAGCACACCCTAGCATCAGGCATGTGACCTAGCCCTTGTTCACTGTCCCCTGGGCTGGAACAGGCACTCTGGAAGGCAGGGACCACACACCAGGTGATTTGCAATTTCCTGTAACTCCAGCTCCAGGGGATCCAACACCTCTGGCCTCTCTAGACAGCATGTATACACACACCCCAGACACATACAAATAGATATAATCTTTTTTAAATTAAAAGTAATTATAAAAGGAATCACAAGATTTCTCAAAACCTCTAGCAGACCCTAAGCCCTGTTGTACATAGTCTGCCTGGAAAGACCCATGCAAAAAGGGTGGAGAGAAGCACCCTGTCTCAGTTAGGGTTTCTATTGCTGTGAAGAGACATCATGACCACAGCAACTCTTACAAAGGAAAACATTTAAAGGTCTGGCTTACAGTTCAGGGGTTTAGTCCATTATCATCATAGCAGGACATGGCGGCATACAGGCAGACATGGTGCTAGAGAAGGAGATGAGAGTCCTGATCCACAGGCAACAGGAAGTGGTCTGTCTCACTGGGTGTGGCTTGAGCCTATGAGACCTCAAAGCCCGCCCCCACAGTAACACATTTCCTTCAACAAGGCCACACCTGCTCCAACAAGGCCACACCTCCCGTTAGTGCTACTTCCTTTGGGGGACATTTTCTTTCAAACCACCTCACACCCCAAAACAGCCACACTGCTAAGTGGACAGACAGTCTCAACTCTTCTCTTTAAAGCAATGAATTCAAGCTAACTAGTGTATGATGGACACATGTGGCTTCCACAGATGTTCCCTAAAGCCATGAGTATTGTCCACATTCAATCACCTGAGACTTTAAAAAAAAATGTTGATTTCATATGATGCAATCTAATACAGACAATTGTTTAAAAAATATCTTGGGGTTGGGGATTTAGCTCAGTGGTAGAGTGTTTGCCTAGCAAGCGCAAGGCCCTGCGTTCAGTCCTCAGCTCCAAATTAAAAAAAAAAAATGAAAAAAAAATATCTTATAGAAAGTTGCTTTCAAGATCAATAAAGTTATCCCTGCCCTTTGATTTGGGCATTTTTGTTCTGGGAGTCTTTCAAATGCAGACACACAGGGTCTGGGGGGCTCAGTAGATAAAGTGCTCATCATGCAAGCGTGATGACCAGAATTAGGATTCCAGCGCCCATGGAGAAACTGGGCGGGCACCTTCCTAAGCCAGCACAATTCCTAACTGCATTCTAAACACTTACCCCTAGACCCACAGATGAGTGCCACAGCTCTCACGCCTCATCTGAGAAGCTCCTTTTGCAGCAGACAGAGACGGTTAAAGATGGAGACATCATGGAATGGGACATCACAGAAAGTCAGAACTGGTCAAAATGCAGAGAACAGATGACTGCAGGGTGCCCTGTGGTATTGTTTCCCAAAATATTGTGTACCTAGTACACTAGTTAGGCAGTGATAGCACACGCCTTTAATCCTAGCATTCCAGAGGCAGAAATCCATGAGTTCAAGGATACAGACAGGCATGGTGACTCATCACGCCTTTAATCCCAGAAAGCCAGCCTTTAATCCCAGGGAGTGGTGGTAGAAAGCAGAAAGGTACATAAGGCGTGAGGACCAGAAACTAGCAGCATTTGGCTGGTTAAGCTTTCAGGCTTTGGAGCAACACAGTTCAGCTGAGATTCATTCTGGATGAGGACTCAGAGGCTTCCAGTCTGAGGAAACAGGACCAGCTGAGGAACTGGCAAGGTGAGATAGCTGTGGCTTGTTTTGTCTCTCTGATCTACCAGCATTGACCCCAATAACTGGCCTCAGGTTGGATTTTATTAATAAGAACTGTTAAGATTCCTGCTACAGTGCCCAGTCCCAGCTGATCTATCTACCACACAACCCTACTCCTGAGACTTGGGAAACACTGTGTGGAAGGGAGGGCTAAAAACCAGAGAACCAGAAGTCTGCGGGGAGCCTGTATCTTCTAGCTATGATGGTGGGGTGGCAGCCGGGATATCTCAAAAACACAGTTGCCTAAACAATGACATTGGTGGGCATGCCACGGTGGGTGGGGGAATCTCACAAGGCTCCGCCCCTAGATGAAGAGGTACAGGCAATTAATGACTGCCAAGAGGAGAACCAGACTTCTCCCAAGATGAGCCCCCTGATAGGTTGTCTAGCCCCGCGTGGTCAGCCCTAAACATATACACGGACAGGCGACACCAAATGGACTTGTGGTGGTTTGAAAGAAAATGGCTCCCACAGGGAGTGGCGCTATGAGGAGGCGTGGCCTTGTTGGAAGAAGTGTGTCAAATGCATCGAAAACAGAAAAAAGCCATCTTCAAAGCAGGGCAGAGGCATCGGCTTGGAAACCGCCTTCCTTGTGGGGAGGAGAAGCAGGAACATGCCTTAGTGGAGGCGGTCTGTCTACCTCCCTCACTGGGTCAACAGTGAGGAAACACCACCCAGGGATGAGCTGGAGCTCACTGCACTCTCACAGTGTGACAAGTCACTGTCACTGTGGGGGTCGCGTGACTTCAGCCTTTTCCGAAATCTGTACAACAAACAATGTATTTCTTATAAGATGACGAAAAGCATAATCACAGTGGAGAACAATGGCCACCGGATTGGAGATCAAAATCCTGCCACAGACCAGGAGGTCTTTGCAATTCACAGACTTGTGACAAGGGCCTGAAATGTCTCCAGCCTGACTTGGTTAACACCAAGGCAGAGGCTAATGTGGCTAAAAGCACAGAGGGCTGGCGGGGCCGGGGAGCACCAGGAAGCCTGGTGGGCACTGCATAGCCACCTCAGAGACTGCAAGCAGCCTCAGAACCAGTGGGCATTTCACGTGGAGCAGCAGTGTGTGCATACCCCCATGCATGCTTGCACATGCGTGTTTATACGCATGCGTCACATGTGCCTATATGTACGTATGTGTGTCACGGGGACAGGCACAGAGGCTAGTGCTTTGTCTATCGTGGAGGAAACCCAAGATGACCTACACGCTCCCAGCAGAGAAACACGCGCGCGCGCGCGCGCGCGCACACACACACACACACACACACACACACACACACACACA